ACGTGTGCTCTTCCGATCTGTATTTTTACCCACTGAAGATGGCTCAATGCGGAGCCGAAACGTTTGGGTGATAATTATTATTGTTAAATATTTGTAATTTTAGCACTAACTTCGTGCAAGACTCACTAGCCCTTCATTTGATACTTCGTAAATAATTTATGTTTAATACACTTGACATTTTTTAAACAAATGTAATTAAGTGTGCAATTTAAAAACGAAATTATGTATAAAATGTAAAAAAATTACAAAGGTTTTGACTCAGGTATTATAATAAATTAATTAATTTTAGCTATTTTAATGCCAATATGAATTATCCTACTTTTCATAATTACCTCAGTGATGAGACACTCGCCTATAAAGCAATAAGAGAGGATTGTACCGACAACGCAGGTTGTATATAATGCGAAAGCTATAACATTAGTATTAGTATCTTCGCCGTATTCCTCCGTATTCTGAAATATAATTTAACCGACCAATATTTAAACACTAATTAAAAATCAGTATGTGCATTAATTAATTTATGAAAGATGCGCATATGCTATACCAGCAGTGCCACTATTACATTTCAGTAGTGTTATCACTGCACTAGTAGTTCTTTTTTACGAGGGATTGCTGAAATATCAATTTTAAAATTTGATAAACGATAATTTTAAAAGAAAAATAAATACCGAGATTCCTAATTTAAAACAAACTATTCACTTTCCGCCAATTACAAGGTGCGAATAATTGACGTTTTATTTAATTATCAATATTCTTTTTAGATACAGGAGAGGCACACGAATTGCCAAGCAAATGATCTTTCAATCCTCAAATCATAAAACTCACCGAAATCATATGATATACTGTTAAACACAGCAAGAGTACGGTTCCCAGAGTTTGCTGTAGGCATATCATGTTGAAATTGTTCTCTAAGATCTCCGCTAATCTGGAATCGCGCGGTGCATAGTTAAAACATGGTCACATTATTCTTGAGACATTAGGCTAATAAATAGCTAATGGCATGTCATAATCTATAAGGAGCAACATATTATACAAATACATTTAAAATAATTGTGAATGAAATTACTATCTAGGTATGATAAATTGAATAGAGAGGAATTCACCTTATTAGATGGTAATGTCTCACTATGATGTTACTCATGTGACGATGATGATTCTCGTGATCTTTCAGCAGATTGTTGACTTTGCATGATAAAGCGGCGAACTGACCGCAAATGTGGAGAGCCAAGCTGAGTATGTAAGCGTCCGGTCCACCGTAACCGCATGTTATAATCGGCACGCATATAAACAGGTAGATGCAGACACATATGTACGTAGGCGTGTCCTTGATCTCAAAGAAGGGATGAACCGGATACGGTAATTCATACGAAAAATTACGGGATACCGCTATATATACATCACGTTACATTTAATTTTCCTTATCATATTTACGACTGTAGCCTAATTGAAAAGCAGCCATCGATCATATTAGATTGATTCAGAAAAAAAAACCAATTGCAAATAACTCTATCCTTTTTTTTTACAAACTTGTCTTCTATAGCACATAAATAAAATTAAAATATTTATAAGTATTTAAAAGAAAAGTTCACGGAAAAAAATTACTGTTGGCACAACATAATAATTGTGATAATTTTCGCCCATCAATTTGAAGGGGCTTATAGGAACTAACATACTTTGGAAGTGACTTATGTATATAGTTAACTTCCAAAGTATGTTAGTTCCTATAAGCCCCTTTAAATTGATGGGCGAAAATTATCACAATTACTGTGTTACAATTATCACAGTTACTAACATAGTTAACTGAACTCTCATTGTCAGCCTTAATATTATAACGTGCAACTGTATATATCTCTCAATCGTACTATTTGTTGTACAGACCATATTAGCTTTGACTATATAAGTATGGACTGATAGTAATTAACTTTATACGTGTCACCAAGCTGGAAGATGTAGACTTCACCCTAGTCAGTAATTTTCTGCAGGGAGAGAGAAGGCTCCTGTGAAATCAGCGTGTTTACGTGTAAAGGAAAGATGTTGAGTCTATTTTTAATTTCTTTCTGTCGATTTGAGATTTTTTTTCCGGCTTCCTGTCAATTGTCAACATAACATTTAATACATTTTGACATTTTTTTTACTGACTGGAGTGGAACCTAAAAATCGAAGTTCGATACTTCAACCAACTTCAGTTAGGCGACACCGGGCATATACCTTTTACATAGTAATTACTATGTACTCACTTTTAAAAGTGGGGGGACTAGCAGTCTATATTTATATAGTCAAAGTATATTAGAGAGATAACAATAATGCTTCGGTTGAGGCAACCACATATATGAAGATATTCTAACCGAATGTTATTTATCCTAAGCACTACGGTTGTGATAACCGTACTGATGAGCATACCTTAACAGATGTATGCCATGTAACATCAATATAACTTAATTCACATGCATTTCTTTTCCAAACATAGAGAATATTGTTGTAACATCCACAGCAATTTTTTTCGTGTTGTTGCACAGTACGCGGTTTCGTTAAAATTAACGACAGTACGTATTACTTATTTTAAATAAAAATTAAATTTCTATTACTTATCAGGGATTGGAAGTAACTCGTTACTTATAACGCCGTTACCGTTACCGTTTTAGATACTCTTTTTGGTAACGGATTGGTAACGGCGTTATTCTTTTTTTTTATAACTGTAATGGTAACGTAATTACATTTTTTTTGTAACGATAACGAGTTACTTTTATCGTTATTTTTTGTGATTTGAATTTTTTGTATTTATGACAAAATATTCGTTTACTTAATCTTCAGTCTTTAGCTGGTATTCATAGTTTGGTGTTATTTTAACTGTTTTAAATAATGTCTTAAAATATTAATATATATGTTTCTGTGATTAGTTTATAACATCTTAAGAATGTCATATGTCAATCCATATCACAAATTAAATTGACAAGTAATTTAATAAGATATTTACGTTAAAGAACATCTCAAAATACTTCGAAAAGATTAATGTAAAAAAATATCAGCCGAATGCGTTTCAAGATTGAAAATTTAATTGGCGCGTAGTATGTAAAATTGGATATGTATAATATAAATTCACTTTGAAATATTAAGCACGAAGCTGGCAACTCTAACTCACATCAAAGACTTTTCTTTTTCTAGTTGTATTTTTATATATCGGTCTATAATATGATTATTGTATTGCTTTTATTAATATTTAAAAAAAATTCTTAAATTATTTAGGTTGATCCTGTTTCAGCATTAAAAAAGTAATGGAAAAATAACGAATTATTACTTTTTAAGTAACGGTAACGATAACGGGTTCCTTTTAAAAATCAGTAGCTAGTAACGGTAACTTATAGTTACTTTTTTAACTCGGTAACGAGTAACGATAACTAATTACTTTTAAAAAGTAACTTTCCATTCCCTGATTCTTATATTACCAATCTAAAAGTATTAGAGTTAAGTTAGAATACAGTACGTCTACCGCGGGGTACATGCCGCTTTGAAAGCGCAAATAATGACTTGACGATACGATAGATAATGTATAGATAATACTAATTTTTAAGCCATTATCATGAAATATGGCTTTAGGTGTTACGCGTGAAAGGGTAATGATTGCACTTACATGCGCTCCAATATAGAAAGAATACCCTGAAGTAATACAATCCGGCCGTAAACGCTGTCATGCTCATCGAGATCTTTATGAAAATCAGCGCGATCTCGTTGTAATATAAATACGCCATTTTCTCCCGAAGAGTCTCGTACATCGCCGTCGTGAAGTCGGCCTCGATACTCTTCAGAAACTTGGCCATTATTCCGCTGCTGCGTCTGATTATGATCATCTTTCCCAATATCATCGTGAGCAGCACGTTATCCGTTAAATTCGCCACGACGCGGTCCGGCTGGTCGATGTGCTTGATCAAATGATTCGCTGCTATGACACAATAAATCACCATGTACGTGGTGAAGAATACGAACAGAGGCTGATTCACCTTGCACGGCCATAAGCCCAGAAAGGACAGGAACCATTTGTTCCAAATTACTATGTTCGACGCTCGAGTGAGGTCAGCAGACTGAAAAATGAAAGAATTACCCTCGTTCAGAAATTTGCAATTTCGTTTCCGCTTCGCCGAAGAGAACGGCGGGACATTCATCTTCATATCTATTGTTAACTTCTATACCTGCATGATTTTTTGGACTTTGCGAGTCGAAGGTGTACAGCGGACTGACAATAAATGTATCGTGTCAGCTTCGAGGTAAACTTTGCCGATATATCGTGTCCTGGGAAATGCAGAGGATTGCCGGATCATGCAAAATGAATGGACAACGTCAATTTTCTTGCATGATTAATGTGCCAGTCGCGCATATTTTTCTCGTTGTCTCCTTCGCATGCGACATCGAGACACGGAATCGGTACAGGAATTTCGCCAAAAATATCGCAGACATACGCCATAATTATATAGCTTCCCTCCGAACGTTCGCTTATTTCCCTGCATGTTGCAGGAGAGTTTCTTGACTGTTTCGACATGCAATAATATCCTTTCACTTCCTTTTACTGCAGCTATTTGCCAGATGTTACTTTCTGGACACGAGAAAAAGATGAGGAAATTAAGTTTCGTTCTCGTTCGCGTTCTATTCGTATCGTTCTCATTTGTATCGAGAACTGCATGACATCTAAATGCTTGGGAAATATAGTGTTCGGTGCACAACTATAGCTAGTATTGAATTCAAATGTTATAAATGATAAAATGTGCGCGTGAGCGTGTGTGAGCGATAAACTTATCTCAGACTAGATTATATTATATTGACTTACTTCACTTGTGATGATATACAGGGTGTCCCGTAACAGATCGGAAGAGCACACG